GGGATAGGGGCCCGTACGTGCATGCAGATTAAGTCTCCAAAGTTTCAGCCCCGTAGCTTTTGCCGGTATCGAGATGAAAAATCATTACAGACGCGCAGCACACACACAGACACACACACAAACACACACACAGACAACCTCTCGTCAATATGCGTTTTTCGCATTGCATCTAAAAAACGCATACGCACACACAGACACATACACACACAGACAACCTCTCGTCAATATGCGTTTTTCGCATTGCATTGCTGCAAAAAACGCATAAAAACACACAGACAACCTCTCGTCAATATGCGTTTTTTGCATTGCATTGCTGCAAAAAACGCATAAAAAGGGATCTCGAATGCCGCATAAGTGAAATTAGAAATAAATCGCTGTAAAAGTATCGATTTGAAAGAAAGGAGGAAATATATAACAACAAAAAATCGAAGAAAATAATTATGAGTTAAGACAGAAGAGGATACATTTTTCTTGTAGCATATGTAAAATTCAAAAACGAAGAGGGTTTTGACTTTTGACTTTATTACGATTTTCAGAGATGACTGGATTGTTGGTGTGGGCTTCCGATACCGGTAGTGTTTGACGGGGCCATCCATTGATGTTAGAGCCACTCAGTTCTGAACTGCATATCTTCTACTTAATATTCACTGCCACTTGAGAATGTTTGGGCCAGGAGTGGTATTTACATATAGGAAAACAATTATTGAGATGGCTGTTGAAGAGATAGCGCAAATATGCAGAAAAGACTGATGCGCACAGAATGAAGATGTACAGTTCAAGATTAGGAGGTCTGGCGTATTTTTTAACTACTCTTTCCGGAGTGGTGGTGCTGGTCGGCATCTGTAAATGCGCTAGAAGAATTTAACGCGCAATTCCGCCTGGACCTTTTGGTAGGTGTGCTGCTGATTGTACTAAATTTGCTGTTGCAGGTTCGCATGCGTCAAACTGTAGCAGCTGCAGCGGCGGCAGCGGGTGCAAATTCACAATCTGTGATTGCCACGTTTGCTCAGGAGCACTCATCTGTTGCCGCCTCCACATCGGCCACTATTTCAGCAAGCAGCGTTACCGTGACATCAACAACTACCACAAATGCCAGAAGAACAGCTGTGACAAGTAAATTAGAGAAGGAAAATGCTGCTGTTTGTGAGGGGAGCAGTCGCAACGCCATTCAGTAAGAGTTCTTTTGTATCTGGAAAAACCAAACATCAATAATTGCGCTTTTGTTCTGGTGCAGCAACTATTTAACGAATTTTGATTTCGAGCCAGAAATCTCATTGTACTCATGTTGGAGCACTTTAATTCGGGGATTAAAAAGCAGCACACTCATTTACTGGCATTTTTATGTGGCCCAGTATATTGCAAATATTTCTTTTTGTTACAATAATCCTTGGCATCTTTTTCTTTAATCGTTGTCACAGATGCTATTGGTTTTGTGATAACGATAAAACTGATAGAAACGCGCACCAG